AGCATTTTCACATTTTGTCACGCTCAAAATGTTGTAGTGTCTTGTGTCTGTCCGTCGAAGACATCCACTTTCGCTCACTTAGTTGGGGTTTTCGACCTGGCAACCAGTGTTTTGATAGCTCTCACCTTCGAAACATGTGGAAGTTGCTCATTTAATCTTTGGGGAGAATACACTGTTCTCATTTTCGAATACATGATGGAGTGCTGGTAGCCGCTGTTAGCTTATGTTTTTGGCACTGACATATTGGGTTGACAAGAAATTTTTCAAACTTTTGATTTTTGTTGACTTTTTTCATGCATTTGAGTTTGTCTATGCTATCGTTCAGAGCAGTTTATTTGCAGAAATTTTGATATATAGCACTTATACATTTCGTTCCAAGTGTTTTCTTAGGACCACGCACAGTCCGGTACACGTGTTTCAGCCTTAACACCCTCGCCAGTCGGGTACTACCCTTCGTCTTTATATAGCCGATCGTCTCGGGGGAACCGAGCCTTTATATAGAGTAAGCGCAAGCGAACTATTTACACGCGCCATTATCACCTATATCACCTGTCGTACCGATGATCGTCGAGTGACCCAAGCGAACACTAGCAACACTTCCATTCTTCCGTATCTCGTGCCAGAGTAGCCTAATGATTCCTCCACTCTCTAGGGATTTGTTGAGCATCATGTCTTTCTCTTAGTCATCGTGAAGAAATCGGACCATCGGGTCGCTGGTCTTCATGTAGAGCGCTTGACATCTCGAAGAATCCAGTCGGTAACGGCTCTCATCCATCGGTTGTCGTTGGAGCACATCACATGTCCGGCCAACCTTATCTTTTAATATAACATATCCTTCATTTCGAGTGTTTTCTTAAGACCACAGCTCAAATTATTCAAATTATTAATTTGAGCTGTGGTCTTAAGAAAACACTCGAAATGAAGGATATATTATATTAAATATACTAGCCACGAGCATTCGAGTGTACAAAACTCTGTGTTTGGTGAGTTCTTCACTGAACATAGAGTGTAAAACGTACGTCGTCGCTAACTCTTATTGTGGGGACTGGAGCACCCACAGAGATTAGCAAAAGACGAGAACGGGTAACTGCCCGACTGACGAGATCGCAAGATCGAAACACGTGTATCGGGCTCTATAAGTCAGCCCTCATTAACAAACCACTGACATGCGTGGCTCAAATAATGATTATCAGGCAACCTTATCTTTGATATCTTGGCGTATAGACGGCGTCTCTGATCTTCGATCGTTGACGTAGGTCAGAATTTCGGATCCTTTCTCTCATTTGCAAGACACGGGTTACTCCTAGCATCGACCTTTCGACTGCGCGCTTCGATAACGCCAAGTGATCTTGTCATCCTGCTTACGTAGCGACCAGGTTTCTGCTGCATACGTTAGGGCAGGGATAATCGTCGAGTCGAAAAGGTGGGCACGGAGTCGGGTGTTCTTGGTTCTCTCACTACATCTTCGATGCTCTTAAACGTTCCCCAGGCCGCTCGTTTCCTCTGCTCAACTCTTAAGCTAGGTCGTTCATCATGTTGATTTCATGACCTAGATAGACGTAACTGGAGCATTCAGAGATTGTAGTTCCGTTGAGCGTGAATTGGGCATTCAAAACCTATCCGTTCCTCATGAAGATACATTTTGGAGAGTAGCAGTGAATGATTTTGGCGAAATTATATCGCCTTGTCGAACCCCTCTTCTTATGTCGATGGTAATAATGTGTAGAATGGCGATATTTTGGTCGCGAAATCTTTTTATAGGTCCGAAGGATCGTTGTACATCGAGTTGAGACGCCATGGTTATCCAGATCCTCCACAACCGCTTCTGTTTGCACTAAATCAAACGCTTTCTTCAAATCGATTAAAGTGAGGCAAAGCGGTAGTTTGCACTGTTAAACTTCAATGACTCTTGTAATAGTGTGGATGTGGTCTATGGTACTAAATCCTTTTCGGGACCCGGCTTGTTCGCATGTCTGTCCTTCGTCCAGAGTTCTGTCAGTCCTGTTCAGGATGACTCGAGTGAAAAGTTCATAGACAACGGAAAGCAAGCAATTTGGGCGATAATTGCCTATGTCGTAAAGGTTTCCCTTTTCAAAGAATAACACGGTCTTGCCGGTTTTCTGTTGATTGGGAACCTTGTGTTCTTCCAGGTAGCGAGTGAAGAGCCGAGAAAGGATGTTGGTAAAAACTGGCGGCAGGTTTTTCAGGTGTTCTGATCTAATCCTGTCTGGACTGGGTGTTGTTTTGTTCTTCACCGTGATATGACATGTCGGCTTTCTTCGGAAGGGAGGACCGCCGGAAAGACATATTCATCCTCTCTCAATTTACATAACGGTAAGAGGGCATGACTAGCGAAGAGAATCGAGTAACAGTGGTGTATGAATTTCTCCATTGCCGTCCTAGGAGCTGTAAGAGTCCCGTTAGGGCGTCGGATGCAATATTTTAGTCTTGTGAGTGGCGAAGTTTCGCTCAGCTTTGCAAATGCTCTTCCGATCTTCTGCAGCTTCTGCCATAACTGCAGCTTTTCTATCTTCGAGGTCTTTTATCGTTTCTCTGCAGCGTTTCGCAAGTTCAGACGTAAGGTTTCGGTTGCCTGTAGCTCGTGCGATTCCACGTTGGCGTTTCAGCTCGAGTGTATATGAAGACAAGCGTCTCTTCGTGACTTTAGGGCTCTCGGCTTTCATAGCGCTATCGTGAAGATATTCTTCGTCGATGTTGTCTACAACGGCATCTTCCCAGAAGCCCCGACTGATGATTGAATACAGCCCAGTTTATGGTGGTTCAAGAACTTCGTTGTTTGAATTTTGCGGCTTTCACCAAAATGACGCAACGTTGAGCGAAGAAGGCGATGGTCTGATCCCGTGTAGAACTTAGGATCAACAGCGGCATTGGTCAGGCAAGACCTTCGATACGCTATGATGTGGTCTATTTCGTTATGGTACCCTCCATTAGGAGACTCCCACGTCCTCTGTTGAGAGTGCGGTTTGTGGAATTGTGAGTAATCATATCTCAAAGAGGGAGAACTCCTTTTAGTATATGCTCCCTTATGGCGTCCAGCAAGAACAATGAGATCACTTCCTGGAACCAGACTTGTCCTCAGTGGAACCTTTTTTTGCATAACCAAGTCTGAATTTTGTGTGTGGGAAGCCGTGGGCGAGTGGTTGTGATGCTCGTCGCGGCGTGTGTGGAGCCAAGCACCACCACCCTCCCCTTCTCCCCGTCCTCCCCCACCGCAGCAGCACTCTCCGCTGTCAGCAACGGAGGCCCATGGAACAACACAGCCAGGCTATCCTCGATATTGCAAGGAGCCATGCTTGGCCAGTATTCTACGTCATTTAAGAAGACGAGACGACGACTTGAATGCTTGAAGTACTGAGATCCACACGGTGAAAATTGTGTTGATGAGTTGTGTAGATAAATAAATAAATAAATAAGTATATGTTCATTAACGGCGGATATCCTTCTTTCAGAGATCCCGCTTGGTTAGTTGCAAGGTCACGTCGCGCGTCCTCAGGTTGTGGATAGGGGAGTACACGTGCCATTTAGTGAAAATATCACTGAATAGATAGCGTGTTACACTTGAATACTCTTGACTGGTATTGTTTAATACATCATACATATCTTTTCGTTTCGAGTCTTATCTCAAGGGGAGGCCAAACCTCGCGTACTGGGCTCTACTATAAGTTTTTTTTCATAAAAGACCACATGCATGGCTCAAAAAATGATCATCAGACTTGCACATTTATTTTGAGATGGAATTGTCTCTTAAGCAAAATTATTGCTGATGCAACGCGAGTATCGTTTGGGAAGAAGTTCTGCTTTAGCAAGCGATGATACTCGTATAGGTGTTATATGCCAGAAGAAACGCAAAAAGCTGCTCTAAAAGACAGTAAAAACGAAAACTCAAATGCATGAAAAATAATCAACACGAACCAAGTCCGGAAACTCCTTGCCAACCTAACATTTGGCCAAACCTGAAGCGTTCTCTAAGCTATGAATGGGTGTGGCGGTCGTGGATCTGTTGAGTGGTACCCTCTCGAGGCATTCAGTCCGAATTTCGTTGCCCGCGGTCATGCGACTGTCTGTCGTATGTCGTGAGCCACTATCGATCTGATCTACATACAGTATTTTCCTTCACCCGAAAAGTCGTTTTGAGTATGAAACTGTGTGCAGCTTCTTTATACTCGGCTAACATCCCGAACTGCCGTCCTAAAATCTCTCCATTTGCGTGAATGTCATCTAAGGCGGTAGATTCATTATGTAGCACAAGCTGAACGTTCAGCCTTTTGTTCTAACTTTTTCCTTCTCCACTTTCCCGTCGTTCGATGTCTTCATTTATTGTGGCAGCAATGTGGAATACAGTATTATTTTATAGTAAATTGGGAGCGCAGATGGCGCAGTGGTTGAAGGTGCTCTACGTCGCACATAAAGTGAATAGCTCAATCTCGCGCTTATGACTCATCAAGCCGTCCACCACTCCGAGGTCGCTAAACTGATACCAGACGGATCTCAGACTTGTTTGCGAGGATAAGCAGCATAGTCCCAACATAACGCGAGGTCACCACGAGTAATTGTAAAGGCCTGAAATGCGCTCAATCACCTCTGGTTAAATTAATATTGAAGTCGAATGCGTGACCTATCCCACAGGGGTTGATCAGCGCTGAGAGTTTTATCCTCCACCTTTTCAAGGTAAGGTGATCGATTGGTTGAAAAGGAAGGAAGGCGGGTAGATCAACGATTTCATAAATCGCGTCCCATTATCGATGGCGAGCAGCTCCAGCGATTGTCGTCGAGTTCGCGCCCCCCCCCCCACACCCTTTTACTTTATTCCTCTCTCTCTCTCTCTCTCTCTCTCTCTCTCCTCACATTATAGGCATGTTTTTATAGCTACGTTTCATTCACTTTCGCACTCTTCAAAGAGCTCCGTTCAACTATCAGAAGATTTCGTGTATCAAATGTACAGACCTTTAAATTAGAGAGTTGAGTGATGAGAAAACATTCGACCGCAAGCGGGAGTTGAACCCGCATCTCACTCATACCGGAGGCGTGTGCTACCACTACACCACAGAGCCACATTTGTGCCACCAACCTTTAACAGGTGTAGTTGGTTATGGGGAATTGCTTTGTGTGCTCTACGTGCCTCTGTGGTGTAGTGGTAGCACGCACACCCGATTTGGGTGAAACACGGGTTCAACTCCCGTCTGACGTTGGGTTTTTGCCCAGCACTCAATTCTCTTAAGTCTATTTGGAACATCATAACACTGCGGAAAAAGCATTAGAAGTCCTGTGAAACGGTCTTCTTTTCATCAGAAGTGCTTCCATACTTTCACACTGGAACTGTCATAGTGTCTTGCATCTGATCGTTACAAACATCTACTTCAGTTCATTGATTGAAGTTTTTGATCTACCAGCCAATATTCAATGGCCTTTTCCTTCAAATCATGAAGAAGTTGCTCATCTGCTTCCAAGAAAAAATACACTATTTTCGTTTTTTAAAACACCTTCAATTCTAATGGTTCGCTTATAACAGAAATTTCTAGCATTAATATATATGACGAAAGCCAAAGCGTTCGCCAACATGTATTGATTGGCTGGTGGTCGATGTGTGACACCTTACAAGCTGGAGTCAATCTCTGAAGATTTCATCGTCCACGGCCATCCGATTGTCCATCGCGGTGTCGTGTGTCGTCAGCCACCGGTCGATGTGATCCACACACAGTGCTTTCCTTCTCCGAAAGATCGGATTCGAGAATAAAACTGTGGAGACCTTGTTTACAATTATCAATCATCCCGAACTGCCATCGTGAAATCTCTCCATCCGGCTGAACATCGTGTACGACGATCGATTCGCTGTATAGTACAACCAGATGCTTGATCTACCTGGTCTAAACTTTTTCCCTCTCCTCTTTCCCGTTTTTGATGTCTACATTTGGTGTACCAGTAATGTACAATACATTGTTAGTTTCTAGTAAGGTGGGGTAGTCGACTGGAGAAAAATCGGAAAGTTTAAGTTCGGAGGCGGGTAGATCAACGGATCCAAGGGCCACACCCCTCATCGATCGCGAGCACCATTTTAGCCAGCGGTCGTCGTCGCGTCCGCCCGCCCGTAACCGTGCTGTTTATCCTTCTCATAATTCGCTTCTAGATTTTTCAGCATTTCTGCCGTGTTTTGCCCTACGTTTCTTTCACTTCAGCACTCCTCAGATGCCTTCGTCCAATCATCAAAAGATTCAAAATATCGAAATGCAACGGCCTCGTTCTTTACAGGAGGACTTCCCGCAGCTTCATACCCAGATCTTGTAGTCTTGCGTCTGCCCTTTGTAGACATCTACTTTTATTCATTTGATGAAGAAATTTTGATTATTACCCATCTGTATCTTGGTGGTTTTTTTCTATCGAACCATGCAGCAGTCGCCCAATTACTCGTAACAAGAAATACAGTATTCTAATTTCTGTAACTCCTTGAACAGCTAGTGGACCCATAATTGCTAAGAGCATAATGTTCTTCTAAATAAACCCGACACGTTCCTTTTCGAACTCGTTCTCTCCTGACATAAGTCTGATGCGTTGCATTTTGAGAAAGAAGATCTTTGGCTACCATAATAGCCTCACTATTCTAGACGGGGATAGAGTATGTAGAGAGACGTTGTTATTGAAATTTCTATTAGGATGACGTCGCAACCTCTTCGCCGTTTTCATAGGTGTACGAAAAGGATGAAGATAAAAGCCCTGAAGCTTTTGGCGTTGATCAATCCCTAAGGAATGCGCCACGCATTCTTCTTCAATTCTTAGCCTCGTTTGAGCTAGTCGGATGCAAATCTGGCCTTTACAATGACTCACGGTGGCCTAACGCTGTATCATCTCAGTGGTGTGTATCCTCCCTTGCAATTCTGAGACAAGTTTATCGACCCTGGCGGGATGGATTCTTAGAGAGCCATGAGGGCAAGATTGAACTATTGACTTCGTGTGCGGCGCAGATATATATATATATATATATATATATATATATATATATATATTAAAAACCAAACATTGTACAGTACTGTTCAGTTTACAACGTAATAGTAATGATTATGCTGAAAAATCCTCACAGCTGCTCGTAGGAGCCAACTCTAGCGTTTTTTTTTTCGTTTCTCTACACAATCATGTGGGTTCTCGTTGGCAGATGGTAGTTCTTGATAACTACAAAGCATAAGGGTTTTGAAGAGATGAGGTGCAATGAGGTTTGACCCCACTGGTACGTAGTCATTCTGGAACTTTCTTGCCACATCATCGAAAAAAAAGCGCTGTACGTGAATATGAAGTGTGTAAGAGATCAAAAGCAACCGAAAATTCCATAAGAGGGCTTATTTACCTTACCTATACCCCAACGTTTGATCGGTAGCTACTGTGGCTCTTGTTTATTATCAGTGCTCCTATCGGTCACATAGATTTTTGCAGAATTCTCTTTTATTGACAAGACTGTAAACCTTCACAATGAACTGTTCGGATAATTTAGTTTCACTGAAGTATTATGACATTATAAATGTAGATCTGAGAGTGCTGATCATATGAAAAACATTAGATATCAAGTGAAATTTGAACTCGCGTTTCATTTTTATCCAGGCCCCTGCTACCACTACACCACAGATGCCACCGCTTTGTTACCACTCCTTCTTCTATATATCATATCGTAGTTGTTAGAAGCTGGTGGTTGTGAATGTGTGGAACGGTACCAGCTAGAGTCATTCTATCGAGATTTCGTCGCCCTTGGCCACCCGATTGTGTGTCGTATGTTGTGCTAGACATGGGCGGTGTCGATATACACACAGTACTTTCCTTTTTTGCAAACTTTAGTGGTCCGCTTCACAGTATTTTTTCACTGTGCGAATCCCGGTACTGCTAGCAATTCGTTTTTTGGCCTTGTTCAACATCGTAGAATACTGGTTGAGCGCATCTCTGCAGTCTTGAGAATAGCTTGGCTAGGGCGTGTTGTTCTTGCCTGCTGGGCAGAGCTGAGGGTAGAGCTCTGCTCTATGCGCGCCGCGGCGAACATCAGAACCACTCGGCCAGGGCGCCCCGTGCTTTCCTTTACCTGAAGAATAGTTCTAAGAATAAAACTGTGGAGAATTCTTTCTTCACACTCAGCAAGTCCCGATTTGCCGTTCCGAAATTTCTACATCTGGCGTAATGTCGTCTACCACAGTAGATTTGCTATGTAGCACGACCAGAAAATTCAATCTCTTCTATCTATTCTTTCCCTTCTCTTCTTTCCCATTGTCCATGTCTATATTTGGCGTACGAGTAATGTACAAGACATTATTATTTTCCAGTGAAGTAGGTTAATCGATTGGAGCGGAACGATGACGGGTAGATCGACGGATCCAAAGGCCACGCCCCTTATCGATTGTAAGCAGCCGTTTCGTCAGCGATCATAGTCGAGTCCGCGCGCCCGTAACACTGCAGTTTATTCTTCTTATAATTCGCTATTAGTATTTTGAACATTTCCGGTGTGTTTTTGCAAACGTCTCATTCACTCCGCACTCATATGCCTCCGTTCCATCATCAAAAGATCAAAAGTATCATTGTAACAGCTTCCTTCACCTGAATTTCATACCGAATGCGATTGTGGACGATACCATGCCCAAAGAAATCGCTGCGGGACCTGACCAATGGCCGCGCCGCCCGCTGCTGCGGGGCGGCGGTCAGTATCGTGTCGTGGTGGCGTCCTGATCGGTCGTGTCTACCCTCGCCATACTCCGCCACCTTTCTGTCTTTGGTTCTCCGCTTCTGTTCTGACTCTAATTCTTTGACTCGGCCCTCGTTGCATCCTTATCAATATTATCTTTATCCTTATCTATCCTTATCAATCCTTATCAACTTTCATCACTGAACCCGTCCGTCCATTATCACGGCACAGGGACCGAAATTCATCTACAGATCTCTACTTTTTTCTTTCTTTTTCCTTTGGTGATCTCCACATGTGTGCCTCAGTAATGTTGTGTACATCATTATTTTCCACTAACAAATGGCAGTTGATTCGGAAAAATCGATCAGTGAGGGAAAATTGCGTAGGTCAACAAACCGTGGATCACGCCTTTTTATCGATTGCTCGCGGCCATTTTGCTAGAGTGGGCGTAGGAGAGTCCGCGCACTCCTGAGATTAGACTTTGTTCTTCTCTCTCTCATGACTCGCTGTTGATAATTTCAGCATTTCAATCGTGTTTTAACGACCGTATCTTTCACTTACGCTTCCCTCAAATGCCTTCGTTCAATCATTAAAAGATTTGATGTATCAAAATCTGACGACTATCTCCACATCACGAGCATTTTCACGCTCAAAATGTTGTAGTGTCTTGTGTCTGTCCGTCGAAGACATCCACTTTCGCTCACTTAGTTGGAGTTTTCGACCCGGCAACCAGTGTTTTGATAGCTCTCACCTTTGAAACATGTAGAAGTTGCTCATTTAATCTTTGGAGAGAATACTCTGTTCTCATTTTCGTGTACAGGATGAAGTGCTAGTATAGCACTATAGCCGCTGTTAGCTTATGTTTCTGACACTGACATATTGGGGTGACAAGAATTTTTTCGAACTTTTTAGTTTTTGTTGATTGTTTATTCATGCATTTGAGTTTGCTTATACTATCGTTTAGAGAATTTTTTGCGAAAATTTTGATATATAGCACTTGTACAATTCGTTTCGAGTGTTTTCTTGAGACCACGCACAGTCCTGTACACGTGTTTCGGCCTTAAGAGCCTCGCCAGTCAGGTACTACCCTTCGTCTTTATATAGCCGATCGTCTCGGGGAACCGAGCCCTTATATAGAGTAAGCGCAGGCGAACTATTTACACGCGCCATTATCACCTTTATCACCTGTCGTCCCGTTGATCGTCAAGTGACTCAAGCGAACACCAGCAACACTTCCATTCTTCCGTATCTCGTGCCAGAGTAGGCCAGTGGTTTTTCCACGCTCTAGAGATTTGTTGAGCATCATATCTTTATCTTAGTCGTATCGGGAAGAAATCGGACCATCGCGTCGGTGGTCTTCCTGCAGAGCGCTTGACATCCTGAGAAATCCAGTCGGTAACGGCTCTCGTCCATAGGATGTCGCTGGAGCACATCACATGTCCGGCCGACCTTATCTTCGATATCTTGGCGTATAGACGGCGTCTCTGATCTCCGGTCGTTGACGTAGGTCACAATTTTGAATCCTTTCTCTCATATGCGAG